ATCCTCATATATGTTACTTAAACAGAAAAGGTCTTCCTGGGATTTTACATAATGTATGGTGAAGGTGTTTATTGTGTGTGGATGAAGAGGGAATATTGTTGAGCATCTTTGGTTTCTTTCCGTCACCCCTTAGGGTATAACAAGGCAGTAAGGCAGCAAATTAACCCCTGTAGAGAGCTGTGGTGGTGTCAGCAAGGGTCTCTGGATCTTACCCACTGCCTGAGGTTGCTGGAAAAATAGATGGAATTCCAGCTGGGAGGGGGGCCAGGATATGGAGAGACCTGGGCTCTTCTTCACTGGGTTTGAATGGTTTGGCTCAGAAATGAGACCAGACGCCAAGCAGATGATCACGCCCAGCAGTTAACGATTCAGAGCATTCTCAAGTCCTGCAGGCTAAATAATTAATACAAGATTTTCATATCAACTAACTACTGATAATGTAGAAAACAGGGTAAATTAACTTACAAGTAGCTATGGAATTTTCACTCAATTTCACTGCATTTTTTGAAGTCTTATAATACTAAGAGTCATTATTACCATTAAAAATGTTAACCTTGTTTGTGCATAATATTCTTGTTATAAAAATCTTGTGAAAAAGATGAATTAACTTGTACTGCAGAGTAGCCTGAATACAGCTATTTCTTACAACAAGCTCTGGAAGTCTGTGGGCTAAAGAAAGGGAGTTTCGTGGCTGGTTGTGCAGTCTGATTGTGTGCAAAGACAACTTTGTAGCTTGTTGAAATGCAGGAACCTAGTCACTCATAAAGTCTAAATGGAAGATTAAATGTGCACCTGAAGGTAGCTAAATGGTTTCCAATTATCTTTTTTTTTTTTTTAATGTTTATATTCTCAAAAAATATCTCAAGCAATGAATATAAATAACAATTGGTTTCTGTAACTGCCCTTAATGGTACTGTCTGTATCTCCTGTTAGGGACTTGTCAGTTTCTTTTGAAAATTTCTTTCAATCAAATTTCAAAGAATAAAGCCCCCTCACATCTAGGATATCAAGCCATTGTGAATGTTAAGGCATAAAGCTCACATAACTGTACTGAAAATTGCACATATTTTATCAAATCCATCCTGATTCTTAAAACCAGCCTTAAAAGGCACCACGCAAAAAGAAGGCAGGGTTCAGAGGGTGCCGTGCTGGTTGTTCAGGTGGATCTGTGCTCCGTCACCCCTCTACGCTTACCCCCTTACCCTGCAGTGCCTGTTAGTTACAGGCGTCAAACGATGGCTTGTGGAAGGGATCCCTATTACAAACAGAGTCCACTTTACATGCTGTGAAGGTCACTACAGAAAAGTCATAGCGTGTAGAAAAGCGGCACAGAGGTGCCATCTAGCAGTAACTCTTACGAATATCCTAATGTTTAATAGTTTCTTTCAAGGTACTGCTTTCGAGTGTAGGAGAAAGGAAAGACCTCATATTTCATGTCCTTTCCCTGGAGCTGGTTTCCAGCTGAATAGCTAATCACTCTACTGAAAACTTCGCTGAAACACAAGAATAATATGATGTATTATCATGATAATGTATTTTTCTATATAAATAGAGAACAAAATTCAATCTAGTGAACATTTAATATTTTTATATTAATTTTTATATATTAAATTTTAATATTTTTAAATAGATATTCTGCAATTAGCACTAGAAGCATTAAGCAAGAACCCCCCAAAACTCTAGTGAGCTGTCTTCATTTTTTAAAGAGACATTTTCTAAATTTTCTAATTTTTCCACGGGCAGTCAAGATTCTCTGTTGTGTTAGCAAGGGGGAAAAAAGAAGTGCAACAGCACGGACAGTAAATTACTATAACTGAAATAAAATTTTAATGTGTCAGGAATATAAGAAAAAATATACATATTCTTGATTATATATCTTACCATAAGATGGCGATACTTAAACGCTTTATGGTCAGACAACCTAGTAAATTTAACATAGAAGCCCTGTCATAACAACAATGCATGTGCACAGTAGCCTTAGGGGCAGTGGTGACCTGTCACTAAGCAAAATGCCTATTTGTAAGCATCGTTTTAAAATAATTGATCATCAGAATGAATTATTACTCAGATATTAATTATCCCAGCCATGAATAGGATGCTTTTACTCTGAAATGTCTAGTGTGATTTATTTTGATAAGCTACCAAGTTGGTCACTGTGGAGGACAGTCCTCAGCCTATTGCACAGTTCTTTCTAGAAAAGGAAAAAAATTCCCATCCCCTCGTCTCGTGCTCCATATTCCCGTGATCCAGACATTTCACAAGCTGCCAGGCAGGATAATCAGTACGTTTGCATTTAGCACAAGGTAACACAAATACCCGAGCACTACTGCCAATCACGGCTTGCAGTTAATTTGCTGAAGACACCTGTATACATTTCCATACATCGTGTGCTACTGAGAAGTGAAATCTGTTTTTTCGTACCCTAAAAACAAACGATCCTCTGCCGTATGGCACCTTCCTCTGCACCTAACCTGGTGCGGTATCTTAACAAGGACCTGAGTCACCGCTTCGTCTTTCAGCTTCCCAGCCCGAGGTCCCTTCCCCGAGTCAAAGCGCCCTGCAGGGAACGTTTTACTGCCCCCTAAACGTCGAACGCGGCGCTGAAACACCGTTTTACACCCTCAGCACAGTATGCCACAGCCACACAAGCCCCAGCAGCACCGTCGGAAAGTTAATTTGCGCCGTTTCACTCCAGCTTCCCTCTACGAGGCGCAGCGTTCCGTGTCTTCGCGCGGTTATTCCGGGGCGCAGCGGGCCCGGAGCTGGAGGGAGCCGCCGCCGCGGCGCTCCCTGCCCCGCTCTCGGCTGCCCCGAGCGGCCCCGGCCGCGCCTGGCCCCGCGGCGGGGGGAAAGGCGGCCCGGGGCCCCGCACGGCCCCGCGCACCGCCGGGGACGGGACCCGCCGCTCCGCTCCGCGCTCCCGCAGCTCCCGCGGCCGCCGGCGGGGTGACCCTGCGCCGCCTGGAGAGCTCCAGCTCCCGCTGGTTTTGAGGATATGGCACCCGTCTCGTTGGAAAGGCATTGTTGTTTTTAATTCCAATGCGTGATTAATTCATATGACTAATTCCTCTGTCAGGAGGAATCACCTGAAGGGCACCGCGACGATGGCAGTGGCCCGGCCCGGCCTGCGGGCGCCCCGCGCCGCCCCGCACCTACCTGCGCCGCC